TCTTGAACAAATCTGAAAGGCCATTTTTCTTTTTTTAAAAAAATATTTATTTATATCCCAGTTTTATTATTTTTAGAAATAACTTAAGGCAGCGAACATACCAATATTCCTTCCCTCTCCTATTTTTTCCAAGAAAAACCTGTAGGTAAGTTGAGCTGAGAGAGGGGATTGACCCAAAGCCACCCAGCCCGCTTTCATGCCTAAGGGAGGACTAGAACTCATTTTCTCCTACTTTCTAAGTCATCACTGTCACCATTAGTCCAGACTGCCTCTTATTCGGTTTAGTCTGTCTTATTTTGTTATCAATGGGCATTAGCAAAAGTAGAAGAAATTTCTTTCATGGGTTAGAACCCAGTTTTTAATGCAAAGCCGAAATGTACTTTTCTTGGCCCAATTTCTGTTCAGTCTGCAGGCTCATGGCTTAAATGTGTTACCACAAAGAAGATAAAATTCTTGGTTTTATTCATTTATTGTAACATTTCCATGGCAGACCCAGTTTGCATTTGTACATGTGTCTTTACACTCTACTCAATACAATGCTGATGCCATACTAATATGAGACTGCTGGATCTAGGCTGAACAAGTCCAGATGACCCTAGATGCTTGGAAAGAGTTAGGGCTTTGTTTATCCCCTCGTTGCCATTTTATCTCAACTTCTAACAAAATTCTTAAAGGTGATCACTGTTTCTACCTTGACCAATTAATTGAAATGCAATCTGAAGCTTTCAAATTAGGGAAAGAATTTTGAAGAGAACATTATTGCTTTAAAATTTGACCTACATTTGAATACAGTAATGGGAAGAAAATTATTTTTAATATATTGCAAACCAATTCTCGTCACACTGCAGGGGTGAATTTGCTTTATGGCTTGATGGCGATCTCTATCATGGAAGAAGTCACTCTTGTAAAACCTTTGGGAATCGCACACTTTCTAAGAAAGAAGACTTCATTATACAAGATATTGAAATTTGGGGCTTTGAATAAGTATAAACTGTAAAATACTACAAAAGTTTGTCCCAAACCTGATACTGATCAATGCAGCTCAGAAAGCCCTTAAAGCAATATAATGTAGCTTGTTTTGCAATGCCTTTCTACATTTTCTGCATGACCATCAACATGTCTTTCACATCAGCATATTGGAGTGCAACTGACTGTTCAGATTGTATTTTCATTTTTGAAAGTTACAAAGCTTTCAAATTGTAATTGATTATTTCTTTATGAGAGCCAGATTTTTATCATCATGTCATTCACATATCCATTTGTTTGTTGTCATTCTCACAATCCAGAAATTTCCTTTACTTCTGTTTAACTATTTCACTGAAACAACATTTAAACAACATAAAATCTAATTGAGTTATACTATATGTACTTGGTCTAAATAATATGGTGAAGAGATGGATGTTTATAATTTACCAACAATGATCAGTCTTGGCTGTTTATTTCATTCAAGTATCACCACATCTTTAGTCATGTCATGACTTGGTATCTGTTGTAATTTACTGTTGAAACATAGCTGCCCTATTGATTGTACCGAAGCGTTTTGCACATGCCATTAAAGGATCTGCAGGCTTGGGACAAATGTTGGGCAAGGATTCAGCTACATGATCAAGATATATAAAAACAGCAATGAGGAAATGGAAAAGTAAGCATAATGCAGTGAGTAATTCATAGTACATATAATACCTTCTTATTGCTAAAGCTATGAAGCAGACGCATTTTTTCCGAACAGCATATAATATGCATCAAATTTATGTTTGTGTGTGTATGTACATATGCACACACATACATAATACACCACTCTGTTTTATAGTTCTTCTGTTGTAGCCTTGTAGCACATCATCTCCAAGAATTGCTCCTGTTCAAAACAGAAAACAAAATAGGTGTGGTGTTTTTCTCTTCTTTTGAGTGGATTTGTGTTGTAAAACTGCAGTTTGCACCAGCTCTGATGCAATGGGGTAACGTACTCTAGATAGACATCATAACTCAGTAGATGTGTTAATATGCAAAATTTACTGTTCTGTGACCTCAAAGCAAAAAGAAAAAAAAAGAAAAATTATAGTAAATCAGTAGCTCTTGTCCACTTTTGTAGAAAAACTAAAAAGCCAGTGTGGCAATAACAACAGTTGTTTCAAAGCTTATATTCTATGTTTATGCAAAAGAAAAATAATTTAAAAATGCTGTTAACTGTGACAGTGAATGACTTTGTGCTGAAATCTCAGCTATTTCAAATGAATATTGTATATATTAACTTGTACATTAATGTTTAAAAGTAGTTTTTGTTATTTTAGAGGGGGGGAAAGTATTGATTGACGGGTTGCTTCTAGCACTTTAAATTATTCTAGCAATGGAATAAAAAGCCAAATGGCTTAGCTCAAATAATTAGCTATAGTTGTATAGAATGTTACTAATATAAGTTGTTTCAGAATTATCTGGGGAATGCTTACTGCTGTGGTAATGGAAAAGAGAATATTTTATCCTATAATATGCTCATGCTTTATATTGCTAAAACAAAATACACAGCATTGTTTTCTGTCTCAATGTATAGCTCTTTCCTCCTATTAGTAGAGTATATGTAGATTCAATGTTTACAGACAAAAGGAAATGTAAATAAATTAAAATAGCTTTCCCCCCCTTTTGGTCTTCCACGGCAGTATTATTGTCTTTGTGGGTTCACTAACTAAACAATCCTGTGATGGATTTAAAACTATAAGATAATAGTGATATAAAGCAAATAAATATAAATTCATGTAATTAAACTTGAGTTGGGCTTTATTTAGACACAACCATTTTGTAATTAACACTCAGGTTGAAAGTATTGAATCATAGCCAAAATACTTGTAGTGTTGAAGCAGATTCCATTCTATGATCCTGCTAAAAATTTCTGATAAGGAATTGGATGTTTTTAAATATTGTTACAGAACTGTTTATTAATTGGTAATACACTTTGACATATGGTGTGGGAGTTGCTGCTAAAATGTTCATTACAGCTATATAGAAATTTCAATATACAATACAGACTGCCATTTGTCAGGGAAGGCAGCCCATAATTTTTGTCCCAACTTTATCCATATCTCCTTCCTTCCAATAAGAAAAATCAAAGCTATAAAATAGAATTAGAAGCTATAAAATAGAATTACAATCCTTAAGCCTCAGGAAATATTCAGAAGAAATAATAGGTTATTGCCCTGGCATTAAAAAAAAAAACCCAATCTTTTCCATCTCAAAAAAGTCATTAAATTTATTTAAATCTTTTTCATTCATCCCATTGTATCAACTGAATTTGCAGTGCATTTCACTTCTTGTTAATATAAATAAGATTTTGAAATGGATCACATTCCTATATTTGACAGAAACATTTAGTATCTACAGCTTAATTTAAACTAATCAATGGTATAAACTGCTCAGTAAACTTTCATAATCTTGAAAAATAATTAGCAGACATAAAAACCTGAAAATAATATCCTTGTCCTGGGAAAGCAACGTTTCTTTAAATTACATTTTTTCAAACTTAATTATTTTATCTAATTGGTAAGGTAAATCAAGCTTTTATTCTCAGTCTATGGATGCAGGAAACTTCATTGATTAAATGTAAAATGTTATTTGCTTATTACAAACTTCCTTTATAATGCTATTAATATTTCACAGCACTTAAGATTTTTGCACATGATTTCTTGCAAGAATCATATTTTTGATACTTGACTGAAAACACATTCAAAAGCTATATATACATGCATGCACATATACTGATATCTCCATATCAACTTTTAGAATAAATTTACCATCATCTTGACACAAAATCATATATTTTTCTTCTATAAGAAGATGCAGGATCTTTCACTTTGAAAGACAATATACCATATCAAAATGTAATTCTTTTCAACAGCTGATAGCATTAAGAAAGCAATGTGGTTCATCTAACACTGGGGGGCCCAGTTGGCTCCCAAGGATACTTGGTTTAATATCTGCCAGGTTCTGTTTCATTCAACTAGTAACGTTTTACATTTTTCAATTATTTTTTAAAAAAGAGAAGGCATATTGTAATGCAAAATGGTATCTTCCAGCATCATGATAATTAAGCTATCTTAGTAGATAAAAATGGCAGACAATTGTAACTCAGTATCTTGTTCAGAAAAAAAGTGCTGATCATTAAAGAGGTAATATATATTCTGTTTGAGCAGGTGCTAAAGATGGTAAGAAATGTGGTAAATTGATTATATGTGGGTATATTCCCATGGCAGCCATTTTGAGAATAGGCAATCTCTGAACACCCACAAGAAGTTTGGAAATCATCCATTGTCCCCACTAACTCAAAAAGATTGCTATCTCCTTATCTGAAAGCTATTTTACACATCTTGTAAGTAATGGCAGTCAGATTTATTATAAAGTATTGTTGTAGCATTACATGTCCATGAACCTCACCGCATTTTAAAGCAGAATTAATGAGCTTATATTGTCAAAATAAATTTCTGAAATGTTGGGGTCTAACATTAAATAAAATCACTTAATGTAGCCTTTAATGTAAGGCTGGCAGTATCTAAGCAACAGTTGGCAAGGTGCTATCCAAAATGGTCACAAGAACTGTGGAGTTTGTTAATTTCACAAATTTCCCCAAAAGGAATTCACTACCCTAAACAAGGCCACTGACTTAACAATCCATCAGTGCAAAATAGGAAAAGTATGAAAATTTCCTCATTTTTCCTGGGAGGCAAAGTAGGGCTGAACTTGGACTTGTATATTGGTGGTTGGGTTGCGTTCATTCTTTTTATATTTCTCCATGGGTGCTTTAAACATTTTATCTGTCATTTTATCTGCTGGAGGTCCTCTATAAACAAAAAGTGAACTGGGATTGATGAACTTAAAAGAGGGAGCAACAACATCAACAGTCTGGATTGCCTCATGCTCCCAGTGCTAACCAGATCTCTGAAAAATGCCCAAGTGTCTAATAAACATCTGATCCATAAGGTGGGCCATCTTCTATATCATTTTCATTCTTTATATACTATAGAAATCTTAACAAACATAGTTAAATCAGATACTACTGGTACTGGCAGAACAAACTATGTATTTAATAAACAGTAACATAGAGGTGGAATAATATGGAGATGCTATTGTTAAATATTAATAGATAAGTTCTGAGTACTGATGAAAGCTTTGACGTCTATCAATCTTTCTGATAAACCTTTTGATAAAACATTCCGAGTATAAGGATATCCTTTGGCTTATCCTATGAGGAAAAAAGACCTTATTCTAACAAAGTTATTAGAACGGCATCATCCCGGCCTTGCCACAACATTTCTCCCTCAAAGTCTAGCATTCCATGTTTTCTGGCCCTCAAGAGTATTCCAACCACTTTATCTGAAATGTGAACGTATCTGTCAAAGAGATCTCCAAAAGTGACTTGGATCTTGCCATCATGTCGTGACTGAGCCATTGTTCTGATGATGAAACACATGTCTCTCATCTCCCGGTGGATGTGGCCCTCTGCTCTCTTGGCCCGTTCTGCTGTCTTTGTGCCTTCTTTAGGATGGCCATAGCCCTCATCTCCTTTACGCAGACGGGTGGCCATAGCGAGCTCATAGTCAAACTCCTCGCTGAAAGGGTTGAGTTTCTGTACAGTCACATGTTCATCAGCCCATTCTTCCCATCGCCCCTTTAGATTGTAGACAGGACTGTAATTCTTCGGCAACTTGAGATTTTTGTTTTTGCTACAGAAAAAGAAAAAAAGATAGCTGCTGAATAAGACGAGGCTTTCGTGAAATGTTTTGGTGGAGTTCATTAATCTGATTTAGACCACAAACCACTAGGTGGCATGTTATCACTAATTCTAAATCACTTTATTTCCTTTGCTGCGTCTTACCTGAAAATAAAAGCTGCTATTTTGGATTAGACCTATTAATTTTAATGTACCTATAAGGGAAAATAACACCACTCTCATTAATTACATCTGCACGGCATGATTTGCTGAAAGAACTGAAGGAAATCTAGTCCAGCAGGCTGTTCTCACAGTGGCCAACCAAATGCACAAGGAAGCCCACTAGTCTCGCAGCAGATGCCTTCACAAGGAGTTCCACAGCCATCAGGTAGGAATTGATTCCCATCATCTCCATAAACTGGTCAATTCTTTTTTGAAGACATGCTGGTAGCCATCACCACATTTCATGGTAGTGAATTCTAGTTTACCCCTTTTAATTTTATATTAAAAAATCCTTTTACTTTTCCTGATTCTTCCAGGATTCAATATCATTGGGTGACCTCAGTTTCTTTTTGTCCACCTTATTCACTCTATGCATAATTTTATACCATGCATGGGTTGTTTTCTTTTAAAGGCCCAAATGTCATATTTCTCATATGGAAACTGTTCCAGACTTTGATCATCTTAGTTGTCTTCCTCTAGATCAGGGGTGTCCAACCTTGGCAACTTTAAGACTTGTGGACTTCAACTCCCAAAGCTGGCTGAGGAATTCTGGGAGTTGAAGTCCACAAGTCTTAAAGTTGCCAAGGTTGGACACCCCTGCTCTAGATCTTCTCTAATTCCACTATATTCTTTTTGAGCTATCTAGAAGGAGAAAGAGCTCTTTTAAGCATTAAAACACCTCTTTTGGAAAGCGTAGCACATCACCTTCAAAGTCTCTCCCTAGAAATGCTTGGGTGTGCATAGAGTCCCTTCACTTCTCTGACTATCCTGCTGGAAGTCTTCAAAGAAGATGGCAAACTAAAATTTCTGGTGGCAAACTACAAGATATATTAGTATCATGAATTCCTTAAAATAATTGGAAACAAATTGGCTTAGAGCTTACACTGCTATTTATGAAAGCAAACTATTAGGGGTTTTTTTTTTTTTAAACTTCAGCATGTGCCTAAAAAAAGATATGTGTGCTTTAAAAGTTATATTAATTTTAATGAGTTCACTGCTACAGGAGCAGAAACCAAAACCCGAACAAACATGGGGCTAAAAATGAATCTTTGCTCGTAAGCAAAGCAGCACTGAAAAAAAAGTCTTGCGTATGTCTGCCAATACTTTTGTTGTTGTTTACTCTTAGATTTTGGGGGGAGGGGCATTAAACTTGAATTCTTAGATCTTATTCAACACAGTCTGTGTCTTAAGAAACTTACTTCTCAGAGGGCCTCTAGCCAAGAGAAGAAACTCCTACTTCTCTTGATTCCCATCCTCTGATTCTCATTAGAAGTGAACAGTAGTTGTGTTTATGGACTACTTATACTACTGTATTCTCGATCTATTACTTTTGCAGAATGTACTTCTTAGGATTGTTGGGTAGTATGAAGGTTCTATGATATTTCGGTATAAGCGGCTAATCACATGTAGCTTAGTTATTCAGCTGATTAACTAAATTAGGGTTCTTCTATATTTGATCTTATCCAGAATTCTCTGCCTAAGCTGTTCTTTGTCTGTTGGCATCCCCAAACTTAACAGCAAACTGGAATGTATTGCTATTGCACCTTCTTGTCTTCCATTTGTCCATGAAGATTTGTGGGATCATGTCAGGATTTTGATAGGTCAGGAATGCTTCGTGAGTTGACAGATCAAATATTGGGGACAAAATATTAGCTTTAAGCAAACAGTGATCTATATCCTTATCTTGCTGGTGCCCACCATCCTACCTGGAAACTAATTGTCAAACAAATTCCAAAAGAATACAATTAACCAGGAATTTACTTATAAGCCCAGTTCAGGACACTAGTCGTTCCTATACTTCTTCCTTATATCTTCAAGAATAACAACACACTTTAAATATATATTGAATGAATAACCAGGACAGTTGTCCACTCACTAAAAATCACAAGTGAATTTATCAGCCCTTTTAGATAGTTTGGCATGCAAACAAATGTCTTTTGTTCTGGAAACTTTGAGAAATCTGCTTCCAAGGCATTTAAATTGCTTCTTGGCCCCCGGTGTAAGTACAGAAATATTGATCTCTCTGAAAATAGCCAAGTTTGTTTCCCCATCAATATGGCATAGTAGGAGGCAGAGATGAAGAGCACAGGTTTGGGTGGGGTAGAGCTGACTCCAGTCTCCTCATCCTGACTGCGGGTCTCACGTGAGTCTCCCTGACGTATCTTTCATCCCTTTATGCTATTAGTTATTGTATCAGTGAGAAAGGTGAAAAAGGGAAGAGAGAGAGAAGGAAGGAAGGAAAAGAAAGAAGGAGAAAGAAAGAGAAGGAAGGAAAAAGGAAGAGGAAGGAAGAAAAAAAGAGGGAGGGAGGGAGGAAAGAAGGAAGGAAGGGAGGGAAAGGGAAGAAAAAGGAAAGATGGAAGGAGAAAAAAGGGAAGAAAGAAAGGGGAAGGAAGGAAGGAGAAAGAAGGGAAGAAATGAAAGAAAGAAAGAAGAAAGAAAAAAAGAGAAAGAAAGAAAGAAAGAAAAAGAAAGAAAGAAAGAAAGAAAGAAAGAAAGAAAGAAAGAAAGAAAGAAAGAAAGAAAGAAAGAAAGAAAGAAAGAAAGAAAGAAAAAGAAAATTTCAATTAGTACTTGAATCCATTCAAGTGAAACACTATCATCTGCTTTCCATTTTAGTTGCCTTTATAGTGGGCTAAATTAGCACTACTCTGTTATCCAGAACAATTCTTTACTGTTATAATTCTTGCCTTTCTTATCTGAAACCACAAGCATTTGATTTGAATAGAAGGATTCAGATATACTATAGCATGTAGTTAGTGTTTTTGTTTTGTGTGTGTGTGCATAGTAACTTTCTCCATGCAGAATATACTTTTGTTGTGTGTGTATGCATAGTAACTTTCTCCATCCAGAATATGCTTGGGGGGGGGGGGGGTTTAAACGGAGAAAATGACTCCTGTGAAATTTTCCTGGGAGGAATGTAGATTTCTGATATTTAATTGTGGGATAGTAAGTGGATATTTAGAATGCCCTACCATTCGCGACTGATTCTCTGCCTGATGTCTGAATTTCCTGGCTCCTATGCTTCAATTAAATCTTGATTAAATTAAAACAAGCAATCTATTACAAATGTCAAAATCTGGTTGACTGAAGCCTCCCTCCCCCCCCCCATTTTTTTAAAATGTGTATCATATGGGGGTTGCATGGAAAAAAGAGGCAGGATGGGTGCAGATGCATCCTGCAGACATGGATGATTTTAAATGTTTTAAATATGTCAGGCAAACAACAGAAAGACCGGTTTCAATGGTCTTTTTCTATCTGGGCAACGGGGGGGGGGGGGGGGCGGCGCTTTTGATCAATGGAAATGTGTACTGGAAGACCACACAAGCTCTGACATCACCACCACCTTCAACTATACAGTAAGCTCAAAAACACCAAGAGAAATTAAAAACAACCACAACAATACTCAAGCAATCCAAGAATAAAGAAGTTCTTTGTTATTAGCACTTTCATTCAAAGCTGAAAAGATTATATTTCAAACTGTTTGTTTTGGGTGGGCGGCAAATGCAGTGGAGTGACCAGCAGGCATAGACAGCTGGGGAGGAAGAAATGAATACCCCTCATTTCTTTCCAAGCAACTCAAAGCCATTTCCAACCACTTGGAAGTAATTCCAAGAATTACAGGTTAAATATAGTTCAACCCACAGAAGGTGACCAGTGAGAGTCAGAAAATTACTGGTACTCAATAAACAAACTTAAGTAACAGTTCATATGCTAATTCACCTGCTTTCTTCAGAACTACTTCCTAGATGCTTACAATAGATAGTCTGAGAACAGGTAGATGAAAGACAGCTTTTATGGAAGTTTAATAACTGAAATATTATTTTTGAATTCTACAACTATTTCAAAACATAAGTCTATGCAGAAAACAGTTTTAAAGCAGTAAGAAAATGGCTCAAAACAGGTCTTCAAACTCAGCCACTTAAAGTTCAGAGTGTAGGCTATTTTCCCCCTTCATACTTCTATTTCAGGGGTGTCAAACTGGCGGCCTGCAGGCCAGATGCGTCACATGCAGGCCACGCCCACCCCAGCCCCATGAAGGGAAAAAACCATGAAACATCATGTGATGGCAACGTGACACCCTTTTTCTACTTGGATCTCCAGAGGAAAATATTTCAAAGGTGGGTTTACAAGAACTATGTTCAAGAAAAGACAAATGACAAATACATCATAAAAAGAGCATAAGATAAATTCATTAACTGTGGACAAACAATATATATATCGACATATATAAAAATATACATGTATGTATGTGTGTATGTATGTATGTATGTACAGCCCCAGTAAGGTTTGACCTCATTAAAAGGTTAGAAAGGTTTATATGATCTGACTAATGATTACTTACATCATTGCAACTGTTGCATTTTATTTTTAGTGAGTAATTCATGCTAACCTGGACCAGTTTAATGTTGCCTTGAATGAACCGTTGCTAGCACTGATATATGCTCATCTGTTTAGAAATATTTGTGAACTGTCAATGAAGCCATTGGACTTTGGGGGAACTTTCAACTGGCAGGGCTCCCAAAGAAACTGCTCTCAAACTCAGCAGAATACTGCCTTTGTCTTGCTATAATTTTTCTCCTTATTTACTAGTTAACATATATAACACCAGTTAACATATATAAGACCCTCACATTCCTCAAGCTTTTTTGATTGACCATCACCTGATAGTTCGCTAGATTTGCTAGATAGATTGAATGAGTGAGTAGATTGGCCATGGTTATTGACATGATGCCCTAGAGATGTGTGAAAACCATTGGTTGCTCTGATAGTTCTGCACCATTTTTAACACACAGGAATGACCCTATAGGATGCAATTATACACATGTACACCAGGCTGGTAAGCTGTGCAAGAAAATAAGTTGGGTTACTCTTTTAGTCCAACACGAAAAGTCGGGAATATTGTGGCATGAGTAAGTAGATAACTAGCTATTGATGACATAGAATTTCTCTTTTTGATAAAGGCACCTCTCAACTTATGCCCACAATTGGAACCAGAATTTTGTTGCTAAGTAGGGCAGTAGTTAAGTGAGTTGGGGCCGATTTTGCAACCTTTTTTTTTTAACCAAACTTAAGCAAATAAACAGATTTAACAGATAATCAGAGTTGGAAGGGACCTTGTACGTCATCTAGTCCCACCTCCTGCCCAAGCAGGAGACCCTACACCATTTCCAACAAATGGCAGTCCAACCTCTTGAAAGTCTCAAGTGATGGCGCTCCCACAACTTCCAAGGGCAAGCTGTTCCATTGGTTGATTGTTCTCACTGTCAGAAAGTTTCTCCTTATTTCCAGGTTAAATCTCTCCTTGTTCAGTTTTCATCCATTATTCTTTGTCTGACCTACAGGTGCTTTAGAAAATAGTTTGATCCCTTCCTCCCTGTGGCAGCCCCTCAAATATTGGGACAACTCCCCTGGTCCTTCTCTTCACTAGACTAGCCAAGCCCAGTTCCTGTAACCGTTCTTCATATGTTTTAGTCTCCAGTCCCCTAATTGTCCTGGTTGCTCTTCTCTGCACTTTTTCTAGAGTTTCAACATCTTTTTTATAGCGTGGTGACCACTGCACCGAAATCACTGCAGTTGTTAAGTGAATCATGCAGTCATTAAGCAAATCCAACTTCTCCCATTGACTCTCGCTTGGCGGAAGTTCACTGTGAAGCACAGAAATTGCAAGCACACGAGCCTGGCATGCTGCGCACATGTTGGTTTCCAACTGGTCCAATTTTAGACACATGACTGGATGTTGCAGCCGTCATAAATGTGAGAATCAGTTGTACATCACTTTTTTCAGTTTTCCGTTATAACTGCAAATGTTCACTCAACAAATGGATATAAGTCAAGGACTGCCTGTACATGAACAACAGTTGATTGGACTAAACAGTTGAAGGATTGCTTGGCCCATATGTTCCTTGACTCCATATGGCTGTCCCAGCCCTCAGCCTTCTGCCCTGCAGATATGTCCAAAACCAATACACATTGGGAAACTTGGGCTAGCAAATAAAAACAGCCGGAAGCTCTAAAATGAATGTTACCTTAAGGACCTAACATTTTTTTCTGCCATCATTCTAAAACAAGGATGAAATGGTCTCTTTGCAGAAACTATCCTATTCCAAATATAACTTCCTCAGTTTTTCTTTCTTTTTTTTTTTTTAAAAGATCTAATTAAATATTAATACAAGCAACTTTTAGATTGTTGAACGTTTTGGAAAATATAAGGCATTTTTCATATTTAAAGTTTGCCACCTTTTCCTGCATGTTTCCATTTTCGCTTTCTGCTCCTACATTTTCAGTTTGACTTCAGATGAAAATGGCTACTTGGAGATAATTGAATGCTGCTGCTGTGGAGAAACAGCTCATCATCTCTTCCGTGGCCTATTTATACATGTCGGCTCATCATTTAGAGCCCCTCCAATCACTTCCTCCATTAGTGTTCCAAAATATGACTGAGGTGGCACTGAATCTGAAGATCACATACTGATACAGGAAATCCTCAACTTACAACCATTCATTTAGTGACCGTTAGAACTTACAATGGCACTGAAAAAAAGTAACTTATGATTGTTTTTCACAGTTACGACCATTGCAATATCCCCATGCTCCCATGATCAAAATTCAGATGTTTGGCAACTGGCTCCTATTTAAAATGGTTGTAGTGACCTGGACTCAAGTGATCTTTTTTTGCGAGTTTCTGACAAGCAAAGTCAATGGGGAAGATAGGTTCACTTTACAACTGTTTACAACCTAACAGCTGCAATGATTCACATAACAAATGTGACAAGAGACATCATAAAATGGAATAAAATTCACTTAACTGTCTCAGCAACGGAAATTGGAGTACTGCTCTGGTTGTACTGACTTCAGAAAGCACTAACGTGCTACACAAAAGCATTTTCTTATAACAAGACAATTTTGGAGAATACAGTAATTACTTACTGTGAGGCCATGGGATGTTTTATCCTCACAACACTCTGTATTTCTTGGATATTATGATCCCTGTCTAATCCATCCTCTGTGTCTTCACCATAGCCACTATCTTCTGTATCCAAGCTGTTGCTGCGACAGTCCTGTAGTTCTTCTTGTTCCAAACGTTTCCATCCCTTTGTCATCTCTGATACCAGATTAGAGCACTTTCTCCTTCTTGTAGGAGACATTTTATTACTAAGGATTTGATCAATATTTGTAGGGTCATTGATGATCTTTCCTGTCTCTGCAAATTCATCTTGTTCATATTTGTTGCTGAGAAGACCAATGTCACTACTTCTTTCAGAGAGTGACCTTATTACACTTTTGGTAACTTCTTTACTTCTAATATTACATTTCTCCAGAGCTTCTGTTGATTCACTTGGATTTTGTTCTCCATCTTTGTTTGACACTTGCTGTCCTGAGGGAAACTGTATCTCGGTTTTTGACTGATCTGTCTTGAAAGTTGGCAAATGTTTTGGAGGTGTCCACTCTTTTGGGTCATTTGGTGATTTGTCTTCATTGGGTACCCATCCAGTAGGTTCCTGAGCTTGCTTGGTGTTGTGTTCAGTTGCCCACTGCTGCCAACCTTTCGCCAAGCTGATAACCAAGCTAGTCATTCGGATTTTTTTGATGGCCCTCTTGGCAGGTGTGGTACACTGGTGTTCTTCTGGTGGCATGGCTTTGTCTATGGTTTCCCAACGTTTACTTGTGTTAAAATCCAGTTCTGATGGTCTTGGAGCAAATAACAAGCAGGGGAAAATTGTGGAGATTTAAATAGATAGAAGGTTAGGCTGCATGAAGCTAGAAAGTATGTGAAACATTTCTCACATAGAAAGAGTAACCTTATTCTGCCAGTGATCTTTTTTTTAAAGGCCCAGCTTGTATTTCACCACAGCAGTTGTACACTTGATATGGTAAATATGAGTGATGTAGTTCTCTCATGTCTCAGATGCAGCTGCGATGGAAATTAACAGAGGCATCTTTTGCATTTAGTTTGACAGTGGAACATGTTCATGCTTTGCCTTACTAAAGAAATGGCCCTTGCCTAATTAGATAGTTTCTCCTTGCTGACTCCCAGAAAAGCAAATGAGAGCATTTGGAATTACAATTCAAGAGGCTTTTATTTTTAACTAACCTACTTTGTGGCTTTGTAACAATGCCAGATTATTAAGACCATAAAAGGTCCCTCAGATGCAGCTCTTCCAATTGGCTGTGCTTCATTAAAGGATAGAAACCATATTAGTGCATTAACAAAGTGTTTTTTCACTATTTTTCCTATAGTTGTGAAACCCCATTCCACCCAGAAATCAAGGACAACTCACTGCAGCCATCTTACTACGGCTGTCTTGCCACAGCCAACTCGCCGTGGCCAGCTCACCATGAGGTAACACACCATGGGACAATCCAGGCAGGATAACAATACAATAAACATTATTTCTACATTATTTCTATTTTTGTCAATGGAAATAATGTTGAAGAAACAGTGGCACGTTCTCCCACGTGGAATTATCCACGAGAGTTGTCCTGTAGTAAGTTGGCCGCAGTGAGTTGGGCACAGCGAGATGGTCATGGTGAGTTGGACACAGCGAATTGTCCCATTCTGTCCAGGCGTGGCTTCTAGGAACTCAGTAAAAGTATCAAAAGGGGTTTTTGCAAGAACAGATTCTGGAACCATAAAGACTCATCAAAACTAATTTGGTCCTTCATTAATTTCAAGTTGTATTACAAGTACAGGAAATCTTAATTTCTATTTTTCCCTTTTCTTATGTAGCAGCCACATGGAGGATTAACTAAGAATCTGGTAACAATTGTGGGGGGGAATTGTTTTTCCTCTGTCTTTATCGATAGCTAAGGTGGGATTTTCCATGCAAAAACCCTGAAACAATCTTACGTTGCTAAATTCCCCTGTATTTATTGGTTGCTAGGTAAAAAAAATTTCCATAGAGAAACCTTGAAACCACTCCATGTTGCTGTGTGAATGTTCATGAGGAATTCAAAAGACCAATTTAATTCTATGGTAAGCCAGTTATTTATTGTATGGCACCTATTTGGCATCTGCAGCAATTGAGAGAACTATAAGGCATTAACTAGTACTGAGATTAGTAATAGAGGATCTGTGATTACAAAATGGCAGTAGCATTCCTACATTTCAATTTTCTCAAGTCATTTGCTATTATGTTGTAATTGCCAATAAAAAAAGTTGTTTGCCTGTGATTAATATTTGTCTGGTAAGAGAGGAAAGAACATCTCTCACTTTTTCCATTCTACATGCTTGAGATTTTGTAAGAGAAAGGTAATCATTGGTAAGTGATACAGACAGAGTGCTAAAATGGATCATATGAATCACTGGCTGTGCTAGAACTTCCCTGTAATCATATCAGATGCCAATTTTATATTGGACAAAAGTAACCAGTATTGAAGTCCTTCATTTTATTTAGTTTATAGACTGACCCTAGAAAGGAGAAAAGGAGTAATCAGTAAACTTAACTCATACTTTAAATAGTCAAAATCAGTCAATCAATCATGAATAAAAGAGATGACACCTCCCGCTTACCAGCCCTCATGAACAGACGAGTACCTAACATGATGAATGACACCAGACCCACACCCACGAGGGCCACACAAGATGCCACCACCACACTTCCACGTAAAAAGCAGACTCACACCCACACAGAAGATGAGACACGACCACAGACCAGAAGCCGCACTGCAGCTGCATCACTACCCACTTCAACCCCCCCTGAGCCATACATGAAGCGAACTGACCCCCACCATGAAGATGCAGCACGACCACAAACTCGAAGCCAAACAGCAAGATCACAGCTCACCAGCTCAAATCCCCCAGTAACTAAGACCAACCTGAGCACAACCAAGCCCCCACCTGAACAGAACACACCTCCAGCCAATCAGAACATGGCCAACCCCCCAACCAATCAGAACACAGCCAAACCCCCAACCAATGAGAACACACCCCCACCCAATCAGAACACAGCCAAGCCCCCACCCAATCAAGTCACACCCCCACTAGCAGTTAAAAGGAAGAAGCAGCTGCAAGCTCACATCACTCTGAGAAGCACAGAGCTGAAGACAGAAGCCTGAAGATGATGAATGAGACTTCATCGAAAGGTTGCCTAGATACTTCCAATCTTACGCGGGAGAAAACCCGAATAACCAAAGATCCACATACAAATACCCGCGAGAACCTCAGAAAACATTATATATATATATATATATATATATATATATATGTATATCTGTATATCTGTATATCTGTATATCTGTATATATATATAAATGTTAATACTGTTTGATGACATTTTGCTCATATAACAATGTAAAGACTGATATATGTCAAAAAGATCACCACATTCAATGTTTTTAAAACCTAATTTTCAATAAAAATTATTATTAATAAAAAAAAACATTTGAATCCCACCACTTGGGACTACCACTTATCTGGAATGGTCTCCTTGCCCAAGCAAGGGGTTGGAATGGAAAACCACCAAGAACCTTTCCAACTCTGTTGTTCTGTTAATAGGGGAGGTTGGGGAGATTGAAAACAAATTATGTAAGGTTCTAAATCCTGACTTTGCAACAGTTGTCTTTTTTTACTTGAAAGAAATATTGACCACATGTAGTTCACTTGAACAGAGGTTATTGTGTGAAGTTTCTGTTATGAAAATGGCTCTGCATTTGACGCACAGTTTCCAACCAGATGTCACTGCCAGTGGGAGGCTGCAAAGCTGCACCATTTTCCCATTTTTCAGCAACCAGTTTTAAGAGGAATAGTTTCTCCAATGTGAAATAATATTTATTTTTAGTAGAAGTCACTGTGATTAGTTGTTTTTCCTCATATTGTCCTAAAATTAGAACTGGAGATTGTGCCAATGAAGCCAAGATTCAAGGCAGACAGAAACTCAGCACAGATAAAATAGCTCTTTTTATATTCTTCAGCATGTGTGCCAGTTAATGGGCCAATATACGTAGGTATATGTTACATATAGAAAAGTCTTGTTGGTAAGGTGTCAATTAGGACTAAACACAGACACATGGACACACACAGAGACACCTTGGGTGCATCCAGCTATTTTATTCCTACAAGTTTTGCTTTCCACGTGGATATCCTTGTAAATAGTTTCCCATTCTTTATTTAATGAAACCACTCAGAATATTTTGGAGTCATTAATAATCTGGAATGTCTCACTGTTAATTTAAAATACCCAGTTTTGTTTTATGAAAGATTGGTGTAGGGTTTTGTCTGAAATAGTATAGGGTTTCCTGCTTGAATGGGGTGGAGGGTTGTTGGATTAGATGCCCTCCAAGGTCCCTTCCGACTCTGTGATTCTGTTAAAGCAAAAAATTGGAAAGCACCCGTTCCAGTGTAGAATCTGAGCTTGACCACCTCATACATCTTGCAAAAGTTATCATTTTACTTTCTTTTCTGTTCTTTAACCATTACCATTTCATAAGGCAATATTTTGTCCAACAGATTCTTAGGGGACAATGCTGGAATTGCCTACATCCATGTTTCTCATCTTGGCAACTTTAAGACCTATGGACATCGACTCCCAGAATCCCCTAGTCAGCCTGCTGGTCAGGGAATTCTGCAAATTGGATTCCATTGGTATTCAAGTTGCCAAGGTTGAGAAATACTGATTTAAATTCATCTTAGGTACTTTTTACCTTTCATGTTCCCCACTTTTTGGGGAAGAAGAAGGGAGAATAGGTTAATTTTCCAGTGGCTGTCAACCATTTCAATATCTGGAATCTAAATACTGACAGCAGCTTTGGAATCCTTATTAAATGCTGCCACCAATATTACATCTTGTTTTAGAGTACATCTAAAATATGTTGCTCTTTTGTTTTCCTGAAATCAGTCTGAGTACTGAGTAGAATAGACCCAGCATTCAGCAATGTAGTGGATAAACATTACAGATCCTTGTTTCTAGTTTGTTTTTCACATGCAATTTATCCAATAATAAATCAGAAGTTGAATTCTCATCATGTTCTCCATAGTACCTTTCAATTGATTTCTTTTCTAAGCAAGGGCTTTGACCAGCACTAACAATTTAATCATCCTGGTCTCCCTAAAGCAATTTCTTTGTCTCTGCTCTGTTTCTATGCACAGAATGCTGCCAGATGAACATCTAACATCTCACTATCAGAAAGTTTCTCCTTATTTCCAGGTTAAATCTCTCCTTGTTCAGTGTCCATCCATTATTCCTTGTCTGGCCTGCAGCTGCTTTAGAAAATAGCTTGAACCCCCTTCCTCTCTGTGGCAGCCCTTCAAATATTGGAACACTGCTATCATGTCTCCCCTGGTCCTTCTCTTCACTAGACTAGCCATGCCCAGTTCCTGTAACCGTTCTTCATATGTTTTATGTTTTAGCCTCCAGTCCCCTAATTGTTCTGGTTGCTCTCCTCTGTACTTTTTCTAGAGTCTCAACATCTTTTTTATAATGTGGTGAACAAAACTGGATGCAGTACTCTAGGTGTGGTCTTATTAAGGCTTTATAGAGTGGTATTAGTACTACACTTGATCTTGATTGTATCCCTCTGTTAGGACCTCTGCTTCAGTATGCTCCTCAAATCATAATGTGAATTCCTATATCATAGTAATCTAAGATGACTTTCCTGTACTGGACAATTTAAGCGTTCTTTTAAAAAATGACCAAACATTATTCATTTCAGAAAATCAATGAATTCCCCTACCCATCCACTTACTTTGCTAAC